CCTTGCCCTTCACCTCATTTACCAACCACTCTTCCACATACATGCAAGGAAGATATTAGCCCTAATATCTTTCTCACCTAATACATGCTATCATTTCAAGGGGTTTCAACTTCCTGTGATGGGTCAACACATTTAGTGATCTCTTCCTGCCCTGCCTACCTCAATCACTTACATCATGGTCACATCCTAAATTCTCTCCCCAGTAATTGCGCTTTCTCCAAAACCCCTTGGCTGAGCCGCGCCGCGTTCTGTGCGCGCCTTCAGACTCGGGGGACCCAGACAAGGAGAGCCCGGGCTGCAAGCGGCGGCGCACACGCACCAACTTTACTGGCTGGCAGCTGGAGGAGCTGGAGAAGGCGTTCAACGAGAGCCACTACCCCGACGTGTTCATGCGCGAGGCGCTGGCGCTGCGCTTAGACCTGGTCGAGTCCCGAGTTCAGGTAAAGACTCGCGTCTCTCCCGGATTCGCAGTCCCGCGCCGGGCGTTCGGAGCACCGTGCGCGCCTTTGTTCCATGCGGTGGGATGTGCCAGGCTCCGAGCCCGCTCTGCGCTCGTCCGCCGGGGTAAGGGGCGTGGGGGTAGCTTTGGAGCTGGCTCCTCCCGAAGCCGGAGTTGGTAAGGAACCGGCGAAAGCCGAGGGGTCTTGGGTGAACTGTGGTAGCCCTGAAGCAGCCAGAACCGCGGCTGCGTGCGAACCGGGAATCGGCGCGGGAAGCTCGCGGAGGCCGCGGGAAAAGAGGTCTGGTAGGGCTTCGGGTCTGGCGAGAAGCTGCTGGCCGGGCGCTGGCTGCGGGCGGGATTTGGGCCTGGCCCTCGGCGCGCTCGCCAGAAGGTTCCCTGAGCCAGAGCGGGCAGGTCGGTCTACCTCCCGCCTGTGAAATATTCAGATGGGAACATGGATTTATTCATCGCTTTGTAGAAGGGACAGCTGAGGGAAGGGAGGAGGAAACTTCGGTGGTTACTCATAGAGAACGTGGTGAATTTTTAATACTCCATGGCTTTATCTTTTTCTGTTTTCATCTCTCACCTTGGTTATTATTTGCTTTCATTTGGAGCCAGCGAACTGTATTCTTTTTAAAAAGGGTTAATTTAGTGTATTAAAAATTCAGAACAATGTGTACATGATTAGATGCTTCCTTGGAACATGGAAACATCTTTTTTCTGGGGTCAGTGAGATGGTGGCTGCCTTGTGTATCGGTGGGCTCCTGGCTTTGGGATAGATGCTGGAAAAGCTGCTTGTCTAGCACCAAAAGCCTTGCCTAAAAGTGTTTCAGTCCTGTGTGGGGTCCACCCCTCATGATCACCTCTGTTCGGAAATCCTTTTAACTAATATGTTCTAAATATCTTAAATGAAGCAAAGATTCCTTCATCTCTCCCCTAATATGATAATGAGTAATTGTTGGTGACAGGACAGCCTGGAATTCACATGCAACACACAAAAAGTTTTTTTAAAGAGGAAAACGGGCAGTTACAGCCTCCATGGTCTCCACTTAATGCCTGGATCCTCTGCCCAGACAAGGCTCCTTGCCGCCAGGCCTGGCCTGCTATTGTGCTGAGTCTCTTATGCCTAGAACAAAGAATTTGAATTTTCTCACTCTGTAGAGAAGGATAGTGCTGCCAGGGCTCTGTGGGCCCAGCACACAGAGGCTGGGTGGTAGTCCCTGGTCACAGCAAGGGTCTAGGGGCTGCTGTTTCCCTAGTCTGGTGTGGCTCCTCATGACGAGGCCTGCAGAGTATGAATAAAGCAGAATGGGCCCAGGCTTTGCCCTACCACCCAGACCAAGCAACACTAGTTTGGGAAGGTTCTGCAGGTTCTTGGGCCAGAGCCCCCAGAAAGGAGGATGTGTGTAGCTGTACTGGGGAGGGAGGCTGCAGAAGGCCCATCCACATCGCTTCCCAGGCCTTGCCCATGAAGAGGTGTCCAGATTTCCCTTCATGGGAGACCTTGGAGTCTGGACTATGACAATCTTCAAGGGGTCGAAGACAGGTGTGGAGGGCGCTTGCCCAGCGAAGCGCTCAGTGACCAGTCGAATTGCCGTCATCAGGCTGGGCAGGCTGCTTAGACCTGGAGCTGTGAGAAGCCAGGAAGGGCAAGCTGGGCCCTGTTCTCTGCCTGGCCACCAGGAACCTGCGGCCCTCTGTCTTGGCCCCACGGCCTTGCCTGAGGAAAGGGCAGCCCTCAGGTACAGAGGTGAGAAGCCAGAGCGGGGAAACAGGCCGGGATGCCCCTTGCATTCTCTTTCCGGGTGGAAAAGAGGCTCGCTGGAACCTGCAGTGTCAAAGCCAAGCCGAGGCTGGCAGGGCTGAGCCAGGGTGTGCAAGCTTTCCTGGGTGCGTGGGGGCCACAGCTGCAGCGGCGGGCTTGCCGCCTGATCATGCCTTCCTTTCTTCTGTTCGGCTGCTCTAGGTCTGGTTCCAAAACCGCCGGGCCAAGTGGAGGAAGAAGGAGAACACCAAGAAGGGCCCAGGGCGGCCGGCGCACAACTCCCACCCGACCACATGCAGTGGTGAGCCCATGGACCCCGAGGAGATTGCGCGAAAGGAGCTGGAGAAGATGGAGAAGAAGAAGCGCAAGCACGAGAAGAAGCTGCTCAAGAGCCAGAGCCGCCACTTGCACTCGCCCGGCGGGCTGTCTCTGCACAGCGCGCCCAGCTCTGACAGCGACAGTGGCGGTGGCGGCCTGTCCCCAG